CGCGTGGGGATTCCGGATCGAAACTCGGGGGCCGCCACCCAGTTGGTATTGCGCGTCTCGATGATGTAGAACCACCCCGATTGCCACCCCTTTATGGTCTCCACGAAGGAGCCCTCAAGCCATGTAATGTTGGGCATTTTTTCCACCATGGCTCCGCCGCATTCCGCTTGTTGGCCGCCTACTACCTTCGGCTTGATATTGAAGGTCTTCAGCCATAGCCCGAAGTGGGGCCGGATGCGGAGAAAGGCCTCGCACATGACGATGAACGCCGAGATGTTGAGGATGAAATTCGGGGCCAGATCATGAAAGTCCTGTCCATAATAGAACATAAGGCCGCGGACGAATGGATGGAGGGGAAACCCCAGTCCGCGGACGAAGTGGGGGAGGAAAACCACCCTTTCGTGATGTTCCGGGGTAGGGACGATCTGCCCCGCGGCTGGCAGCCGGTGCGCGATATCCGCCGCTAAGTATTCGGCCCCACGTAGTTTTTTGATGTGTCCCTCCGTGACGGAGGAGACCATCCACTTGCCTCCCGCTCCAGACATGTTTGGAGAGAGTTGAGGAGAAGGATGTGGACTTGGGGCGCTGGAGCTCGAGTGAGCGAGAATGGATGAGCAAGGAGGAAGAAGGCGTGGGTAGAAAAAGGTGAAACCTTATCCCTTTATAAAGGCGGACGAAAATATGCGCCCCCACCAGCCTGGTAAAACTCGCTTATTCCCCAAGCGCCGTAATTGATGGCGCGGTTGGGTTACCCACGTCCGTATTGATGGGAATCACGTAATAAGGGGACACGATCTCTGCTTTGACAAGACGTGCCAAGGAAACCGCCTCGCGAAACACGCTGAGATAGGTTATGAAAAATGATTAGAATAAAGACCTGGCTGTGGTGTGATGTCACACTACAGGGTACGTCAGCAGATTAGATTTGTATAAATATTATTCCCTCTACGGTGGTATGTGGAACTTATTTTGCAGAGCCGAACACGATCCTCGTGTTCAAGATCTTCTATGAAGTATCCGGAGGAGGAACCCGCCTTGCAATGCCGAAGACAATCTGCGCGCCGGACTCATCGTCATTGAAGCCTGGTTCAGGGGCTACTGAGGGAGTCCTGGATTAGGGGGTATCCGGACTGCCGGATTATATCCTTTGGCCGGACTGTTGGACTATGAAGATACAAGATTGAAGACTTCGTCCCGTGTCCGTATGGGACTCTCCTTGGCGTGGAAGGCAAGCTTGGCAATACGGATATGTAGATCTCCTTCCTTGTAACCGACTCTGTGTAACCCTAGCCCCCTCCAGTGTCTATATAAACCGGAGGGTTTAGTCCGTAGGACAACAACAATCATACCAGAGGCTAGCTTCTAGGGTTTAGCCTCTCTGATCTCATGGTAGATCAACTCTTGTACTACTCATATTATCAAGAATAATCAAGCAGGACGTAGGGTCTTACCTCCATCAAGAGGGCCTGAACTTGGGAAAAACATCGTGTCCCCTGCCTCCTGTTACCATCCGCCTTAGACGCACAGTTCGGGACCCCTTACCCGAGATCCGCCGGTTTTGACACCGACACCCCTCATCCCTCTCCTAGTTCATGCAGACCAAACAGGCTTCCTCTCCGGCCGCAATATCTCAAAGAACTTCCTCTACGCTGCTGAAATTTTTGCACTGTTGTGTTAAAAGGAATGCGCCCACACTCATCGTTAAACTTGACTTCCGCAAAGCCTTTGACTCAATTTGCTGGGACTCCCTCCTTCACACCCTGCAAGTCAGGGGCTTCCCTAGCCGCTGGTGTGACTGGATTCGCTCGCTTCTTTCCACTGGTCTCACGACTGTTCTGCTTAACGGCATTCTGGGCCATTGGATCGCCTGCAAAAATGGGCTTCGTTAGTGCGATCCACTCTCCCCCTACCTGTTTATTATTGTCGCCGATATCCTTCAACAAATGTTCATCAAGGCTCGCCATGATGGACTGCTTCTGCCCCCTCTCAGCACCGACCTCCCTTGCCCAATCCTCCAATATGCACACAACACTCTTATTATTGTTAAGGCTACTCCCACGGCCGCCAAACACTTGAAACAAACTCTTGACGCCTTCGCAGCTGCTACTGGACTCCAAATCAACTTCTCAAAAACAACTTTCATCCCCCTCAATGTCGATCCAAATGACGCCGCTGGCATGGCCCACGACCTCGCAACCAATATATCCTCCTTCCCTCAAACTTACTGGGGCCTGCCCCTCTCCCCCTTCAAGCTCCTGTCCTCGGCCTTCCAACCCTTGATTGATCGTTGTGATATTTACCTTGCTGGCTGGTGTGCTCTCCTCCTCTCGCGTGGGGGCAAGCTCGTCCTCCTCTCCGCGGTCCTGGATAGTCTCCCTACTTACTTCATGTTGTGCTTCTCGCTTCCCATCCAGGTTTTAGAAGCTATCGACAAACGTAGACGCACCTTCTTCTGGTCCGACGATGAGACTTGCTCTGGGGAAAAATGCTTGTTTGCTTGGGACAAAGTTTGTACCCCCAAAGTAGCTGGTGGTCTAGGTGTTAAGAACCTGCGTGTACAAAACTTTTGCTTGCTGCTGAAATTCGCCTACAAATTTTTACACTCCTCCAACCTTCCCTGGAAAGACTAGGGCTTACACCACTCCCCCCTCCACATCGGCCATGGTAAGAACAGCTCTTTCTTGGCAAAAACCATTTTTAAACACCTTCAGAACCCGAGAGAGATTTCACAATGCACCATTGGTGATGGTTGCTCCAGCTTCTTCTGGTTAGATTGCTGGCTCAAGCCCGAGCCACTAGCTCTAGTTTACCCCGCTCTCTTCTCCCACCACACAAAACAAAATGCCATGGTTAACACTGTTATGTAGGATGGGGTTGAACTTGCTATTCGTAATCGGCTAACCACTACTGCGATTGCAGAACTTGCCTCTCTAAACTCCTTGTTGCAGGATGTGACTCTCTCGTAGGTCCAGGACACTCGGCGGCTGCTCAACGGGGCGGCCTTCTCCACTCGAGGAGCATACACAGCTCTTACAGACCAGCTCGCCGACTCCGCTCTTGAGATCATTTGGGACTCACGGGTGCCGAAGAAAGTTATGATCTTCGGCTGGTTGTTCTACCTGGATCGCCTCAACACCAGGAAGAACCTGCATTGGAAGCACATCTTGGACACCTGTACCTGTCCGCGGTGCGGCCACTCAGTGGAGGACCGCGAGCATCTCTTCTTCACTTGTCCGGCTGCTGTGCGGATTTGGCAGCGGATTGGCATTCAGCCCTCGTTTACTCCGATTAGACAACTTTTCCACTCACCTCTCCCGACCGACCAGCCCTCCTCGGTTACCTCATTCATGTTCCTTCTAATCCTATGGAAAATCTGTGATGCAAGGAACAAGAAAGTTTTTCAAAGCTTGAGATCGATGCTAGTGGTACAAATATTGCCATTCTTGATGACCTAATTGTTTGGTCTCATAGGCTTAAGTCTCAAACTCTCATGAACCACGCCAATCTGTGGCGCGAGTTCCTCTCCTCTAGAAACCTGTAACTATGTGTAACAACGGTGCTCTTTGAAATATATTTAGGTGGGGAGCCTTTCCCCCTCGGTGACCATTTAAAAAAAAGTTCTAATTGTACCCTCTGTACCTTCTGTCCTCACTGTTCATTTTTGCATCAAAGTTCATGTAAGCAATTTTTTTTCCAAATAACAATTCGATACTTTACATATCAACATCACACAAGTACTACCATGTGCAGAAATGTATTCGGATTTTTGGCGCAACATAATTTTTTTAAATGCATGATACAACCAATTCAAAATTCAAAATTTGACCAATTTATGTTACATCAAAAAAACCAAAAACATTTTATACAAAGATTGGCACTTGTGTATAGTTGACCTGCCAAGTTTTAAGGTCAAATGTTCTCTTTGAAAGAAACAAAAAAAGAGAATTTCTATATAAGGATAGCAGCACAAATCTTGACGTAATACTACCGGAATAATGCCGATGCCGACGACATTTTATCGAGGCCGTCAGCATAGACGAACATATGCCAACGACCTAGGGGAAGCCCTTCCTCAAGCGGCGGCGAGGGGAGGGAGGGCGGCGGGGTGTGGCTCGGGTGGCGGCTAGGGTGCGTTCCTGGCCGCCCGCGGGAGCGACCGAGGAGCGTCGCTCTTCAGCACGACTTGTTACTAGAGCCCTGCGCGGTTCAAATTTTTGAAATGTAGATTTGTTGTACTACAATACCATTGTACCTTCCATTGAGACCATTCACTTTGCGTCAAGATTTGTGTTGTGCTATCCTTATATAAAAATTTCTATTTTTTTCTTTCAAAGAGATCATTTGACCTTAAAACTTGGCAGGTCAACTATACACAAGTGCCAATCTTTGTATAAAATGTTTTTGTTTTTTTATGTAACATAAATTGGTCAAATTCCAAATTTTGAATTGTTGTATCATGCATTTTAAAAAAATTATGTTGCGCCAAAAATCTGAATACGTTTCTACACATAATAGTACTTGTGTGATGTTTGATCTGTAAAGTATAAAATTCAAATGTTCATTTATTTGGAGGAAAGAAAAGAGAAGTTTGCTTGCACTAACTTTGATGCAAAAATGAATAGTGAGGACAGAAGGTACAGTGGAGTATTTTCGAAAGTTAGATGTTCCTTTTGTCTAAAACGACAGCTTCGAGAAAACTGATGGGAGTAACAGTATTAACTAACACGTATATGTATACAAAGAGTAAACCGAATCCGATAAATTCATTAATTAATGGTATATATGCCTGCAATAATGACTGGACAGAGAGTATCGTTGTCGATCTTGGCGTCGCCGGGCAAAGCCCGCGGCGCGGCAGCGGTGCGTCCTTCTCCTCTTCCCGCTTGGGGTTGGACGGCGCGGGCCGGCCGCCTCGGTGGGTGCTCTATCCCGGTGCTCCCGCTAGAGCTCGAAGCTTCGCTACGCAGCCGCGCGGAGTGGCGGCGTCCGGCGGTGGATGGATGGGCGCGCTGGTGCACGTGGGCGTGGATCTGGCCGGGGCGGGCGCGGTGGCCTCCTACCGCGCGGATCTGGTGGCTTGGCCCGTGTGCGCCTGCGAGGTGCGCCGCAGGCGTGGGCGCGCGTGTGCTGCACGGAGGTGCCTCCCGTGGGCGGATCCAGGTCTGCTGGGCGCGCTGGTGCGCGAGGGAGCTTCAAGGGCGCGGTTCTTGGCCAGATGCGGGCGCGTGGTGGCGCGGGAAGCTGCTCAAGAGGCGCGGTGGTGCACCCGCTGGGTCGCGTGATGGCGCAGCGGTGGCGCTTTGGGTGGCCAGCGACGAGGATTTGCTGCCCGGAGGTCATGCGGTGATGCGGGGTGTGCTGCTGCTCCAGCGAGTTGGATCTGGCGAGTGTGATGGCGTGCAGTGCGCGGTGGTGCTCGGACGCCGGGGCGGCGGCTCCGGACCTTTTCTTCGGTGACGGCGGACGTGGTGGCTACGTGGGTAGCGCCACGGTTGGAGCTCGGGGGCATCGGTACTCCTCGGCAGTGCATCGGCCCTCCGTCGTGTCAAAGACGCTTGGCACTGGCTGGTGGGTTCAGGGCTGGTCCTGAAAATTTGGGGTCCAGGGCGAGACTAAAACTCGATACCCTTAATATACACATCATAACAATAGCTATGAATATAAATAATAAATAAATGATTTTCAATACCAGTTAAATACATCCAAAACCAGTGTGCATAGCAAGTAACTTATACATATTACCTTATAGAATTCTTCTAACATTCCTTGAGGCGGAGTAACTTATGATGGTGTTGATATCAATATCATCCAATATTTTTTCTCAATGCATAATGTTGCTAAACCATTTACCTCTCTTGAGTCGTTGCTGACCTCAAATAGCTGTTCACAAATTTCAACTTGGAAAAGGTTCTGTCGACCGACGTGACAGTCCAAGGCATAGTAAATAACATGCAATAAGCAATGGATATATTAGGATAACATCCGATGAATTCCCTACATTCTCAATGCCACTTACATTGTTACCGTGGATGTTGGTGTCGATGTTTACTTCTTCCTTATCATATTCTGAATTCTAATTGGTTGCTCTTCCACTATGACAACTATGGCCAACTCATCATCCGCGTTTATATATCTAAGTACTAGAAGCATTAGTAATTTAGTATTACTCTTGAAAAAGTATGAATATCTCCCCCTTGAAAAAGTATTATATTGTTACCGTGAATGTTGGTGTCGATGTTTACTTCTTCCAGATCACATGATAAGACACAGTGCTAAAAATAAACAAATAAATAAATGCATCAATTGGTCAGCGGTGCCGCTGTGCAGGCTATGCATCCAGAAACCCCAATATGAACGTATGATATACCTTGGATGGTCGAATCGCCGATGGACCGAACAGAGAGCGAAGCAGCGAATTGTAATCGGCAGACGATCTAAATTATATAAAGGAATCGGCGAAATTACGATCTAGGAGAAAGGGGAATGGAGCGTCGAGCGCATAGTCGCAAAGAGGCGACGAGTCGACGGTCGGTGGGAATTGATGCGTTGATGCATGCGTGATAGAAGGGATCAGTCAGTTCCTTTTTTTACGTGAACATCTATAAACGCAGGGACAAGCCGATCGCTGGCTGGCTCCGTGCCTCACTGCGTGCGTACAAGGGTCTTCTTGCGTGCAGTTCTCCGTGAGGCCCAGCCCTCCGACCCATCGAATTTTCCTTATCAGTCAAAATACATTGGGCCAGAGCCTACCTAATGCACCTGGGGAGGGACCCCAGGATTTGGGGGGCCCGGGGCGGCCGCCCCCCCTGCCCCCCTCAGATTTTTACACTCCTCCAACCTTCCCTGGAAAGACTAGGGCTTACACCACTCCCCCCTCCACATCGGCCATCGGGCAGTGGTGTAAGCCCTAGTCTTTCCAGGGAAGGTTGGAGGAGTGTAAAAATCTGAGGGGGGCAGGGGGGCGGCTGCCCCGGGCCCCCCAAATCCTGGGGCCCCTCCCCAGGTGCATTAGGTAGGCTCTGGCCCAATGTATTTTGACTGATAAGGAAAATTCGATGGGTCGGAGGGCTGGGCCTCACGGAGAACTGCACGCAAGAAGACCCTTGTACACACGCAGCGAGGCACGGAGCCAGCCAGCGATTGGCTTGTCCCTGCGTTTATAGATGCTCACGTAAAAAAAGGAACTGACTGATCCCTTCTATCACCCATGCATCAACGCATCAATTCCCACCGGCCGTTGACTCGTCGCCTCTTTGCGACTACGCGCTCGACGCTCCTTTCCCCTTTCTCCTAGATCGTAATTTTGCTGATTCCTTTATATAATTTAGATCGTCCACCGATTACAATTCGTTGCTTCGCTCTTTGTTCGGTCCATCGGCGATTCGACCATCCAAGGTATAGCATACATTCATATTGGGGTTTCTGGATGCATAGCCTGCACAGCGACACCGCTGACCAATTGATGCATTTATTTATTTGTTTATTTTTAGCACTGTGTCTTATCATGTGATCTGGAAGAAGTAAACATCGACACCAACATCCACGGTAACAATGTAATACTTTTTCAAGGGGGAGATATTCATACTTTTTCAAGAGTAATACTAAATTACTAATGCTTCTAGTACTTAGATATATAAACGCGGATGATGAGTTGGCCATAGTTGTCATAGTGGAAGAGCAACCAATTGGAATTCAGAATATGACAAGGAAGAAGTAAACATCGACACCAACATCCACGATAACAATGTAAGTGGCATTGAAAATGTAGGAAATTCATCGGATGTTATCCTAATATATCCATTGCTTATTGCATGTTATTTACTGTGCCTTGGACTGTCACGTCGGTCGAAAGAACCTTTTACAAGTTGAAATTTGTGAACATCTATTTGAGGTCAGCAACGACTCAAGAGAGGTAAATGGTTTAGCAACATTATGCATTGAGAAAAAATATTGGATGATATTGATATCAACCCCATCATAAGTTACTCCGCCTCAAGGAATGTTAGAAGAATTCTATAAGGTAATATGTATAAGTTACTTGCTATGCACACTGGTTTTGTATGTATTTAACTGGTATTGAAAATCGTTTATTTGTTATTTATATTCATAGCTATTGTTATGATGTGTATATTAAGGGCCCCGAGTTTTAGTCTCGCCCCGGGCCCCCAAATTTTCAGGACCGGCCTTGCGGGTGGTTCATGGCCTCAGGGTCGGCGTGGATGTGGGAGTGGCGGCTCCGGAGCTCATGGTCATGGAGGGGTGCCGGCATTGGTCACGTGGCTGGCAGTGTCGTTGACCAGCATGGTGCGCGGCCTTGGGGTCGGCATGGATGGCAGAGCAGCAGCTCCCGAGATGGTCGTTGGGTGTCGGCTCTGGTTGCTTGGGCGATGAAGCTGGCGGCTCGCTGGAGTGCATCCTCGGGGTCGGCGAGTGAGGTTTTCGTATGTATGTCGGAGCGGCGGCTTCGGACATGGTTGTAGGGTGTTGGCTGCAGTCGCTCGGGCGACAGGGCTGACGGCTCGCCTGGTGCACGGCCTTGCGGTCGGTGTGGACGCCGGAGCGGCGGCTTCGGTTCTGGTTGTAGAGTGTCGGCTTTGGGTTGCTCGGGTGACGGAGCCGGCGGCTCGCCTGGTGCGTGGCCTCGGGGTCGGCATGGGCTAATGGTACCCTTTTGGGGGCGTGTTGTAATGGTTTTCACCTGGTTTTCGTTGATTAACCGGGCAATTCTTTTCTTCTTAATGAATCGGGCCCTAAGGGACCGCGTTTCTCAAAAACACTTCAGAAAATTTATGCTGATACCTAAAAAGAAATGGACAGTGAGGTATTTAGTCCCATTTAATTTCCCTACCATACATGGAATTGATCGATTGAGTTGTGTAACAATCCTCCCCTAATGGCAACTCACCAAATAGGTTTAAGATCCTCC